AATAATAATATAATAATAGTAATTTAGCAATTTATAGTAATACAGTAGCAAATGCATTTTTAAAAAGGCATTTAAGATATATACAGTTGAAGTCAGAATTATTAGCCCCCTTTGAATTTTTATTTTCTTTTTAAAATATTTCCCAAATGATGTTGAACGGATTCTGGAAATTTTCACAGTTTGTCTGATCATATTTTTTCTTCTGAAGAAAGTCTTATTTGTTTTATTTCGGCTAGAATAAAAGCAGATTTAAATTTTTTAAACACCATTTTAGGGACAAAATTATTAGCCCCTTTAAGCTATATATTTTCTTGATAGTCTACAGAACAAACCATTGTTATGCAATAACTTGCCTACTTACCCTAACCTGCCTAGTTAACCTAATTACCCTAGTGAAGCCTTTAAATGTCACTTTAAGCTGTATAGAAGTGTCTTGAAGAATATCTAGTCTAATATTATTTACGGTCATCATGACAAAGAGAAAATAAATCAGTTATTAGAGATGAGTTATTAACACTATTATGATTAGAAATGTGTTGAAGAAATCGGCTCTCTGTTAAACAGAAATTGGGGAAAAAATAAACAAGCGTTCTAATAGTTCAGGGGGGATAATAATTCTTTAAAAAAAAAAATGCATTTGCTAAAAAAAATAATAAGAAATGGCTCTTTGCTGAAAAAAGGTTCCCGACTCCTGGTATATACATTAGATTGGTCTGTACTGAAGATAAATATGAAGTTTATCTAACAAAATAACTTACAATAATGCTCCAAATACTAGTACAGCCAAATGTATATGCTATAGAAAAATACTAAACACAAATTTAAAGAGAGGAAAAATCAAGAGAAGCAAAAAAAAATAATAATTTATTGAAATTTTGTAGGTTGTAATGTTTTATTTTGCAATGTTCTGCTTGAATTTAATTGCATTATCTTTCAGTTTCTAAACATGTTTGGTCACTAAACTATTATTTTAATAAATATATCTGTTTAATAAATATAAATATAAAATAAATTGCCTATATTCATTGAGAAATGGAGAAACATTGATTTTCAAAATGGGGTGAGCTCAATCATGCTGAGCACTGTATAACACAAATAAAAAACGAGACTGCTCATCGTACTACAGGAATAAGAACAGCTGAAATTCATACAGGATTAACAGCACAATCTGTGCATTAGATTAATCCCTTTATTTGCTTTCCTTGGCGATAGCGTAAAGATGACGTATTTATTTTCAGCTGCGTAAGGCTTAAATAAAAATGATGTGTTCCAAGACAAGAAGACAAGAGTCTGATCAAAGCTTAATGAGAACTGAAAGACTGCAGTGCTTCCCGTTTTCTATCATGAATTTCTGACTAAAAACTGGACTCAAGGTGGACTGGATTACTGGTTTGATCGCACTGGATCAGTATGTGGTGTGGCGGAGAGGAGTGGTCGTCCACGCACTGCCCGTACTGTTACAAATATCACCACTGTTGAAGACATGCTACTGAGCCAAGAAGACACACCACACACCCATCACACTGTCCGGCAGATTCCACAGGAGGCTGGCAATTAATGACTCCGATATGTAAACATTAGGGATGCGCCGATCGATCGGTATCACTGATGATCTCATTTTAGGACTCTATCAGTACTCGCCAATCTGATGAACCGACCGCAGGTGTTTGTGTAGGAGTTTCCACGCAGAGGAACCAGACGTGCTAGTTGGAGAGGACTATATTGGAATGGTCTTGCATGTATTTAGACTCTTTTACATATATGAGGACTGAAAGTTCTGTGTTTTTGACAATTCATTATTTTCTGTAAAAACTCTATCGGTTAATCACCATGACAAGAAATCGGTACTCTTTATTGGCCAATACCAAGTACCGATTCTGATGCTTCAAGCTTCATAATGCATAAACCACATCTTCCCAAGTGGAGATCTCTCCTTAGGTAAGAGAATAAGGGTGTACTCAAACTATGTCCATTGAATTGAACCTGCCCAAAGTAGGCTTGTCTCCCCTCCCGTCTCCCCTGACGACCTGCACTCACATTACATTCGGGCCTGGGCGCGCTTCATCGATGATCTGCTGTTCAGTGAGAAGCGCTCTCGCTCAGCACAGTGGAGACTTCTCTAGTTATATTGTTTTAGTCGTTTGGGATGCGGTGACATGCAGTCAGATATTCTGCTGAACAGATCTGGCAATTTTGGCGCTCATAAACAATCATAAAGCCCTCGTGCTGCAGGAGTTAGGAGGTTGCTGAAGGTGCAGCTGTCATGCAGTGAGGGGTTTGCGTCTTTAATAAACTACGGCAGTTTGCGTTCATTCAACGGTAAGAATGATTAATAAATCCACATCAAACAGTCCCTTAAAAGTCACGTCTTGCTTTCTGTTTCGGGCTCAGGCGCGTTTTGCACTCACACACAAGCGTACCGCGCCAAAGCCTAAGTGAACCGCGCTTCCAACCTCTTCCAACCGGGCCAGGGCCGGCCAAGTGAACCATGCCTAAGCCTAATTCAGAGCACTCACAATTCTCAAACGATCCGGGAAACAGGTCTGGGCACAGTACGGATGGCATAGTGTGAGTAGGCTCTAAATGAAGGATGCTGCATATAATCCCTTAAACAGGTCTCTTATTACCATTTAGTGTGGATGTGTCATGGTCAGAAGCAGCTTTACAGAAAATAATAGATCACCATGACAAGGAATCAGTACTCGGTATTGGCTGCAAAAATCCTGATCATAGCATCCCTAGTAAACGTTGCTTTATTTCTGTGCATGCTAACTTAGTTTAGCAATTGAAGCGTTCTGTCAGTATCAGAGTAATCGTCATTGTTTAACAAGGTAATCCGGTCAGGTGAGGTGGAAAACGTATACAAACCTTGTATCTATTTGCCATCTAATTACAAAATATAATTAAAGTTAGAGGGTGGCACTGTGGTAACACAGCACAAAGTTGGTGTTTCTGTGTGGAGTTTGCATGTTCTCTCCGTGGGGGTGCTCCGGTTTCCCCCACAGTCCAAACACATGCGCTATAGGGGAACTGATGAACTAAACTAGCCGTAGTGTATGAGTGTGTGTGTGAGAATAAGTGTGTATGGGTGCTTCCCAGTACTAGGTTGCAGCTGGAAGGGTATCCGCTGTGTAAAATATATGCTGGAATAGTTGCCAGTTCATTCCACAGTGGTGACCCCTGATAAATAAAGCGACTAAGCAGAAGGAACATGAAGGAATGAATTAAAGTTGGAGGGGTTCTGACAGAATTCATTTGCTTGGATTTTTTGAGACACGGTGTATATACTGCATTTCTCTGCAAGCTTGCTTCTACAACACAGGTGTCAAACTCAGTACCAAAAGGGCCGCAGCTCTGCACAGTTTAGTTCCAACCCTAATTAAACACACCTGATCAAACTAATTAAGTCCTTCAGGCTTGTTTGAAACCTACAGGTAAGTGTGTTGGAGAGAGTTGGAACTAAACTGTGCAGGGCTTCGACCCTCCAGGAATTGAGTTTGACACCTGTTCTACAACATAGCTAAGTGAAACATGTAAATGCAACCATTTCTTAAATCTCACAAGTCTGCAACAATTGCAAGATTTAAGCGCAGAGTTGCACGAATAAAAACAAAAGTTAAAACTGTGTGATATTAACTCAGATTCCACAATAACTGAAAGAAATTATGGGGGAAATATATAATGAATAAATGCATTTGCTTATTGTATGATATTAACTTCCAGCCTCCAGCGTCTAGACTGCAGCTTTACACAGGAAGTTTGGCCAGAGGAGAAATGGTCATGCACAACTGAGCCTGGTTTCTATCCAGGTTTTATCCTTCACTTTCGTCAATCGGTGAAGTTTGGGTCTTGAGGAGCTGCGCATTGATAGATTTGCTCTTCAGTGTTTGGACTTTCAGCAGTGAATATTAAACCACACTGAACTGAACTCTGAAAACTGGACTGACACGCTTTCAGTTTAGTGGAACTTCTGCGTTCAGCTGCAGCGACACAATCTACATTGTAAAAGCGCTAGAGAAATAAAGATGAACTGAATCTGTGCACAATTATTGCTGAATTGCAGGTACAATGTTAATTGTATTATCCCGTGGCAGACAGAAACATCTATGCATTAATTTAAATGGTAACACTTTCATTTAATGTACAATTCAAACCACTTTTAGCTCAATGATCTACTAATCATCTGCTTATTAATAGTTAGTAAGGTAGTAGATGGGTTTAGGTATTGAGGACGTAGAATAATATAGTTAATAAGTGCTATCGAACAGTTCACATCTTAATAATAGGCAGGCAATGAGTCTGTGGTTAATAGTGTGAATTGTGACTCAAACTAAAGTGTTACCCTTTAAACTGAGGGCCAAAATTGGACATTTCAGTTATATAAAAATTCATTAATCAGCTATTTTACTCTTCTTCGAGTCATCTAAGATGTAGGTGACGTTTCTCTTCAGTTGAGCATTAGAGACGATTTTTAGCTGACTTTGTGGCGTTTGGTGATGCTTACAATGCAAGTCAATGGTCACCCGTTTTTAGATGAAATTAAACACATTATAACAAGGCCGCATCAATCCCGGAGGCTCCTGATCAAACTCTGAGCCCTTATTAAGAGAATTGATCAGCCTGTGCAAGAAAATCTACATCCATTACAATATTATAGAGATAATATGATGACAGATATACATGGATGGACAAACAGACACATACTTATACTAATGGATGGATGGATGGATGGATGGATGGATGGATGGATGGATGGATGGATAGGTAGGTGGATGGATGGATGGATGGGTGGGTAGGTAGATAGGTAGATGGATAGATGGATAGATGGATAGGTAGGTAGATAGGTAGATGGATGGATGGATGGATGGATGGATGGATAGATATGTAGGTAGATAGGTGGATGGATGGATGGATAGATGGATAGATAGATGGATAGATAGATAGATAGATAGATAGATAGATAGATAGATAGATAGATAGATAGATAGATAGATAGATAGATAGATAGATAGATAGATAGATAGATAGATAGATAGATAGACAGACAGACAGACAAGATGCATATACAGAGGGATGGATATATGGACATACCGATGGAAGGCTACATGGATGGATGGACAGACGAATAGACATATGGAGGGATGGACATAAGATGGAACGCTAGACAGATAGATGGATGGACAAATAGAAATATAGATCGACGGACAGAGTGATAGATGAATATAATGGGATAGATGGATAGACAGATAGATGGATAGACAGACAGACGGACAGACGGACGGACGGACAGACAGACAGATAGACAGATAGACAGACAGATACAGATGGATGGACAGACAGACTGGTAGACAGATACATGTACGGATGAAAGGATAGATATATTCATGAATAGATGGATGGGCAGATGGAACTGTAGGTTGTAAATAATGTGATTTCTCTTCATAAGGGCTCCTCAGTGTTTGATCAGGAGGGATTGATGTTGAACTGTTATTATGCGTTTAATTTCATCTGGAAAACTGGTGACCATTGACTTACATTATAATAATCTCCATGGATCCCAAACTCAGCTAAAAATCTTCTTTAAAGTTCTGCTGAATTAAAAAGAGCATCAGCAATGACTTGAAGGCGAGTAAACGAACTGTAAATTTTCGTTTTTGCGTGAACTATCCCTTTAATTGTGAAGAAAACCCGAGCATTGCTGCATTTGTTTCCCTCTGGGTTGATTTAACGGTGAAATCTGCTCTGGATGTGAGTGTGAACAGTGATCTGAATGCGTCCGGTTTTTGGCTATACGACCGTCCCGCTGGGAGAGTTGGTCGGGTTCTGGGACGACAACAAACCCTGAACAGAAGAAGAAGATTATTAGCGTGTTGCTGATCTGAACACACCTCTGTTTACACGGGTAAATGACAGATTTACAGTGGATAGGCTAACATATAGAGGATGCATCAGGAGTGGTTCACATAGAATGCTTTTTTCCATTGCAATGCTCTACATTTCTATTGTTTTCCTGCAATATTTATTGTGATATAAACACAATTACAAGCATATATAAATACAACAGAGCAAATATAAAAGTGAAATAAACAGCGCTGTTTGGTATTCAGTCACAGAAATTAATCTATCACACAAACAATAACAATCATCATTGTACAAATATTTAAAGGGCCAGGAAACCCCATCGTTTCAGCAGGGTGTTTTCACACCTCTACTTTGGAAAAAGTCAGAAAAGTGGGCGTGTCCAGCTCTGTTTAGGGGGGAGTGTCGGAGGAAGAAAAGAGGCATGTTGTGGGAGTGTCTATTTGGGCACGCGCGAGTTTCAGAGTCAAAACACACAAACACACACACACAGGGGAGAAAGTGATTGTGTTTACATGGACATCTGTAGTTTAATTATTTGCCAAATTATTAAATGGTGGACTTTAACTGCAGTTTGGCTCTTTCATTCAGGGAATTCATTCATGTCCCTCACGACAAACGAGATATTTGATTCGAGGATCTGCTCTAAGCGTGTATTTTTCATGCAATGTTTGATACCGCACGGCGAATGAGAGAAAAAAAACTCCGCATTTCACGGAAACTTAGATGCACACGACAGGTAGCGTCAGAAAGCCGCGTGTGTTATTCCGGTCACAAAATGCGTGAAAATCCTACACGAGGTTAAAGTTTGGTTGTAGTGCTAACATGTTTACACTCGGTGCAATAGAACAAACTGAATAAACAAAGAGCACCGGCCGCTCACCAAATCTGTAGAGACAGGACAATCACCAGCAACTAGAGCCGCGTCTTTATTTAGAGGAGACTACAAGCGAATCCGGATCTCAGCGTTTGCAGATGAGAACAGCTCTCAGGTAAACAATAATCCTCCTTAGACACGTAAGTTATTGTTGTCGAGCGTCGCGTACACTGTTAATCCACACGTGACTCCAGCTGCGCTCTCACAGAGAGAAAATGAAAACAAAACTTCACTGCAGCAAACTATAAAAGCAACACTTCACGCTTGTTTTGCCAACACAACGTGGCGTCTCTGTCGTCTGAACACTGTGACAGTAATGAATATTAATGAAGCTGCACAATAGAGTGCGCTGATTGGTTTGAACCAAGCTTTACTCATGCATTAATGCATCACACTGTAAGACGTAATAAGACTCACTCTGGCACAGACGTCCAGTCTGCACGCTGGAATACACGCTATTATCTCATGACCGTGACGCAGCTACAAAAATTCGTTTCAAACCGGAAGTACGAATTTGCTTGAAAAACGCAAAAACAACCAATTTACACTTTTTAGTGAAATATAGGTGTCCTAATAGTGTTTTTAGCAGTGTGGGACACATATACCACTGTCAACAGCTCAACACATGTGTGTTTTGGTGTTTCGTGACCCTTTAAAGCAATTATATGTTCACCTTTTAATCTTAATAAATAATCTAATCCTGTGATGTGATAACTGTGGATGCACACACTGCGATATCCATGCTCAAACGAGAAATTGTTCAGCCCAGATGTAAATACATGACTGCTATGAACACCACATGATTTTTTTAATTAATTTATTTAATTATAATGTAACAATAACACATATCTATTTTTATATTACTGTTTATTTACTATGAGAATTACATAAAAAATACATTTATTTTAATTGCTGATAAATCAGCATTGTTAACTATTGTGAACGAGGCATGAGGTGCTCTTATTCACTTTTCGCCACAACAGTAATGACAGAATAAACTCACCAGTTTTCCAGGTCTCGCCCACGTGCAGACGAATCCCTCCTGACAGGCTGTGACCAGACAGTCCTCCAGGAAGATCAGCACTGTGAGCCGCTCATGAGAGATTTTCTTGCAGACCAGCGGCTCCAGCAGCGGGATCTCCTCCATGCGTGGACACTGCATGGTTCCCAGCGTCTTACACCCGTCCGATTTACCACCTCGTGAGCTGATGAGCTGATTTAGCTTGTCGCTGCTCTTGTTGCTAATGTAGCTTATGCTATGATTGCGCTTATGCTCCTTCTCCTTTCTCGCTTCATGCAGAGCTAGCGTTGCGAATTTACTCACCCCAGTCGCGATTAAAGCGCTATCTACAATACTCTGTGGCTTATGCGTGTTCGGACTGTTTCCAGATGACTGCGGTAAACTATTCGAGCGCGGTAATGGAGAATTTGCACTATTATTTCCATTAGCACCGAGCGTCGTCGTTTCCGCATTCGTGACGTTAGTTTGAGTTCTAGTTCTCGTTAGAGGAAACAGAATATCTTCCGTTAAATCCCACAAACACATTTGTGTGTCTTGACCAACCGAACCAAAACGATAAGTCACGCTCCGGCCATCTGTAGAGTTTCGTTTCGATATTCTAGACTGCGCGCTATTTGCGCGTTCACGATTTCCATTGAACTGCATCTGAAAATCTTCATCGCTTCCGCTGAACTCCGCATCGCAGTCCTGAACGCTAGTGATGCAGTGGTCAAACGCCACTACGCTAACCCACGATTTATGTCCACGTCCGCGAGCAATGACGCGAGAGTCCGAAAACGACCAAACTGTCACTAGATCGTCTTCGCCGCCGGTTACGATGTATCGCCCATCAGGGCTCCAGCACACACACAACAGCCCGCCGAAGTAGCTTTTCATTGTGCCATGAAGTTCGGCGGAATCAAAGCAGAAGACGCGAAGGAATCCATCCTGTCCAGCGCACGCTAGAAACTTTCCATCGGGTGAAAATGCGAATTCGTTGACCGCGCCCTCGCCGACCGTCCAGCGCAGCAGGGGATTGCGAGCGGATTTGCTCTTGCCGGTGTGGACGGTGTAGCTCTCGCCCTGCTTCAGGAGCTGGTAATGCGGTGAAGTGGTTCCACAGGTGTGCTCCACGTTGTACAGGTATAAACATCCACTGCTGTGCGACACCAGAAACAGATTCTCCGATCCCGGGATCCACTTCAGACACGTCACCGCAGACTTGTCTATAAGTCTCTGATTAAACACACACAAACAAACGAGAGTCACTAAACAAGCTTAATACACAAACGTTTAAATATTAAATCACTTTTTTTTAATTTAAAATTTAATGTAAAAAGTCTGAAACTGAATGCTTAATTTTTTATTTGTTGCACATTTTATTACAATGAAGTGGGAAAGTAAAAGGTGAAAAAGGAAATTAAAAATGAATGCTGGTTTATAAGAAAAATAACGAGATTATAAAATATGGAGTGTTTGTTACATTAAAATGAAAATTACAAAAGATGCGAAAAATTTTTTAATGGATGTTGTTTTACAACAAATAATAATAATATGTTTGAAAATATAGAACAATAAAGATTATAGCATGCTTAAAATAACCTTAAATCTAATTAATTTATCAATTAATTAAATTAATCATTTAATTTATTATTTATTACAAATGTTATTACATAAAACTTAGACAAAATGTCAAACTATAATTTCATAATAATTTTTATAAGATTTCTTTAATAACAGACAATATCATTTTATGCATTCAACACAAAATTTTAGCCCATTTATTTTCAGTTAAGTTAAGTTAAGTTAAAATAGTAATCAAATAGATTTAATTCTTATACTTTTCACAATTAATATATATTAAAAATGTATTTAAAAAGTTTTTTTTTTAAAATACAATACATTTTAGCAAGTTTAACATAAGACCCAAAATATTTTTTATCCTCTGGTTTGGTCACAGACTGCAAGACAAGGGTAAATACTGTTTTTTACATAATATCTATTTTCATTCAATTATTCATTTTCTTGTCGGCTTAGTCCCTTTAATAATCCGGGGTCGCCACAGCGGAATGAACCGCCAACTTATCCAGCACGTTTTTATGCAGCAGATGCCCTTCCAGCCGCAACTAATTTTTGGGAAACATCCACACACACACTCACTCATACACTACAGACAATTTAGCCTACCCAATTCACCTGTACCGCATGCCTTTGGACTGTGGGGGAAACCGGAGCACCCGGAGGAAAGCCACGCAAACGCAGGGAGAACATGCAAACTCCAGACAGAAATGCAGAGGCTTGAACCAGCGACCTTCTTGCTGTGAGGCGACAGCACTACCTACTGCGCCACTGCGTCGCATAATATCTTTATTATTAACATCAAATAGATTCACATTTCTTATTTAATGCATAATGTAATTAATGTACTTTAGGAAAATACTAAATTAAATTAAGCATCTTCACCAACACAAAAACAAAACAATCTTATTTGTTTTTCATGTCATTTCTTTAGTCAAATTCCCAAACATTACACCTACACTGCAAATGTAACACTGGCAGATTTTGTTTTAGAAACCATGACATCTAAAGTTATAAATAAAGACACATCTTACTAGTGATCATGTGCTGAATGTTAATCCACCATCTACACTTTTCCAAGAGTGGATAAAAGACTCCATTGGCTTCAAGTCCGCTATAAAAAGTCTGTGGGATGGAGTTTTCAGGTAACTGTTTGCCACATCTAGCACGAGAGCTTCTGTTTAATCCTTCATATAATCGCCAGATGCTGTCCGCCGTGCAAGGGGCAAAATTAACTTTAAAATTAAATTTAACACCACGTACACCACCGCAAACAGGCTTGCACTGAGTAAACTAACATCGCCACTCATAAAAAAACGGTATTGCTGTTAAAATGACGTATGCATATAATAATGGTACATTATGTGTCAAAAGCATCAGTGCAATATCAGACAGCACCCGTGAGAACGGCACAGTTATACCAGTAACAGATTCAGCAGTGCGTGCAGGGTCGGTGAGCGCTCAGTGTATGCTTTAGTCACTCAGTTATGTTATAAAAGTCTATTTTCTTGTGATAACGGTATTTCGTTGAAACATATTTTCCTCACGCTTGCATTTATATATTTATTATATTGTAGTAGTGGTGCTTATAATTGGTTACATTTTGGCTGATGAGCCTACATTTTTAAAGTTAGGAGCACCGGTGCTACCAAGCAAAAAGGTTCATTTCGAGCCCTGTAATGCAAATGCCTTTCTTACTTAGTTTTTGTCTTGTTTCTAGTCCAAATATCAAAAAACCTTTAAAATCAAGAAGCATTTTTAGACAAGGACAAATATAGTCTTGTTTTAAGAAATAATGAGTCAAAAAAAGTCAGTTTTACCTTAAAACAAGCAAACAATCTGAAAATGGAGTACGCAAAATAATCTTGTTTTTCATTCTGACATTATATTATTTCTCTTACTCCATTGGCAGATTATTTTGCTTGTTTAAAGGAAAACTCACTTCAGTTTGCATTACTACTTCTGAAAAAAAAAACACACTATTTTTTGCGTATCTAAGAAATGCTTTTTTATTTAAGAATGTTAAGATATTTGGACTAGAAACTAAGTAAGAAACGCTCTTGATGCAGTGTAGTCCAGATAGCTGATTTCTCAGCTGAATGAAATAATGCAGGTGCAATAATAAACACACGCAGCACTCACGTCTTCATTAAAGAGCTTGCTGGTCTCCTTCTTGATGGGGTCGATGAGCTGCACTTGTCCTGCAGAAAAGCCCACTAGCAGCGAGACGCTCTCCGCCGTGGCCGTCAGCGCATTGGAGTCGTGACATGTGGGAAGAGTTCCTTTATAAATACGCTTGTCTATGGGTTTGCTCAAGTCCGCCGCCTGAACAAAGGAAAAATAAATAATAATGCATCAATCCATTTAAAATCACCAGGCTGAGCAGTAAATGCACATACAGTTGAAGGCAGAATTATTAGCCACCCTGTACATTTATTCCCCCAATTCTGTTTAACAGAGAGCAGATTTCTTCAGCACATTTCTAATCATAATAGTGTTAATAACTCATCTCTAATAACTGATTTCTTTTCTCTTTGCCATGATAACAGTAAATAATATTAGACTAGATATTCTTCAAGACACTAGTGTTCAGCTTAAAGTGACATGTAAAGGCTTCACTAGGGTAATCAGGGTAAAGTTAGGGTAATTAGGCAAGTCATTGTATAACAGGGGTTTGTTCTGGAGACAATCCAACACTAATATTGCTGAAGGGGGCGAATAATATTGAGCTTAAAATGGCTTAAATTGAAAAACTGCTTTTATTCTAGCAAAAATAAAACAATTTTTTTCTCCAGAAGAACAAATATTAGAGGAAATACTGTGAGAAATTCCTGAATCTGTTCAACATCATTTGGGAAAATTTTGCAAAAGAAACAAAATTCACAGGAGGGCGAATAACTTTGACTTCAGCTGTATATAGTATGTATAAAAATGACTGATTCCAGAACTGTGTGTACATTTTTAGTGCACATTACATTAACATTCTTCGAACTACTGAAATGATAAACAAATGTAAATTTACAGTAAACTGAATCCACTATTAGTGTAAAATAAAGCTTAAATGTGACTACAAACGTTAAAAAAACAACTTTTCCTCAATTTAATACTTTACTCATAACCCTAATAACATCTGGACTCAAAAATGTAAACATAAAACGTCAACACAATGTACTTTATCATTAAATCAACAGAAATCTAAACCAAAACAACAACAACGGCAACACAAACCGTTCACACTGAATTACACAATAATGCACCAGGTCTCAAACCGCAGTCATACCTCAACATTACACTGTTTCACACTGAATTAATATGTAACCTAAGTATAAACAGCTCACATCAAAGCAAAATCAGAACACTGCAGAAAAAAAGTGTTTTATACAGTATTAAACTGAAGTAAAGCTAAAGTCAGACCCGCAGCAGCTGATTGAGGTAGAGTTGGTTTTATATTCACACGTTCAGACTTTCTCCTTAATAATATAACTTAAAGTATTATTTGCTAATTATAAATAGTGAAATCATATTAGCAGTTAATGGCTATCAAAGCACAACTTTGTTCACAGTGAATTAATTAGTGCTGATGTTGTTTTAAAGTCAAACTTACATGCGGTTTCAGACCCAATATTCAAAAAAGAGTGGTAGACAACATGGGGAGCATGTCACTGTTAAAAAATAGTGAATGTGTGAATAATATACAACCAACAAAAACGCAACAGGTCTCCAACCGCATTCATAACTCAACATTACAGCCTCACACTAAATCTACATGAAACTTAAGTGTAAACAGCTCACATCAAACCGAAGTCAGAATACAGCTCAAAAAAGGGATTTAATACAGAATTAAACTCAAGTAAAGCTAAAGTCAGAGCCACAACAGCTGATTGAGGTGTTACAGGGTTATTTTTAATATTCAGCATGAAATCAAAACTAAAACAACAAAAATGGCAATAACCCTTTCACATTGAACCACACAATAATCAGTGTGTCGTGATCCTTAAAAACTGTTTACACTGAATCACACAATAATGCAACAGGTGTCAAACCCCATTCATAACTCAACATTACACTGTTTCACACTTAAACCCCATGAAGCTTCAGCGCCTGACCAAAGTCAAAATACTGTTCAAAAAAGTGGTGTTATACAATATTAAATTGAAGTTAAGCTAAAGTCAGCGCCACAACGGCTGACAGAGGAAAAATTGGTTTTATATCCGCACATTCGTTGATTGGCAACTTGTGTCAAGCTCCAAATATTGCATTTACGGGGTTATTTTAATATTCAGTATGAGATCAAAGCTAAAACAACAAAAATGGCAACAACCCTTTCACACTGAACCACACAATAACACAACAGGTCTCAAACCGCATTCATAACTCAACATTTCACACTGAATTTACATGCAACTTAAGTGTAAACAGCTCACATCAAACCAAAAGTCAGAATACTGCGCAAAAAGTGTGTTATATACAGTATTAAACTCAAGTAAAGGTAAAGTCAGAGCCGCAGCAGCTATTTTACGCTAATTCTGATAACATTTGAACTCTGAATGTAAACATAAAGGTCAACATAATGTGCTTTATTATTAAAACAACAAAAATCTAAACCAAAACAACGACTGCAAACTGTTTCACTGAACCACACAATAACGCAACAAATCTCAAACTGCATTCATAACTCAAAAATACACTATTATATATATATATATATATATATATATATATATATATATATATATATATATATATATATATATATTAGGGATGTAACGGTATCAGAATTTCACGGTACGGTAATACCTCGGTATGAATGTCACGGTACGGTATTTATTGAATCATTTACAGGAAAAACAAAACTTATGAAAATACTCCAAAAAAGTGCCAAAAGTGTCAATGACATACAAATTAGCCATCTATCTGTTAGCTTTGAAACAGGAACTTCAATTTTAATAACAAAAAATTATTAAACCATGTAAAAAAATAAAGTTTCAATTTAGTATTGTTGAAAACTCATCACATTCAACATTTAATCACTCACTTAGATAGAGATGGGTTTAAAGGAAAATTATCATATAAATATAATCTGGTAAAAGCTGGTATCTCTGGGTATTTACAATGTCCCCTGCAACAGAAAAAAAACCCTCTCATTTGGGACTGAGGTTTCTGGGACAAGAGAGATATGACTTGGCCCATGTTGACAGCAGTGGGTGACGTTGTGCATTGTCTTTCCCCCACTTGAGAAGACAAACCATGAGTGAGATAGAGATCTCTTTGCGGTACAAGTCAATGTCTGCATCAATCTGAACAGTGTGCTGTGTTTCTGCAGTCCCCATGACTGTTATTAGTCGTATTCCCCAACTTGCAGGCACGTGCACACATAGGGCTCAACCTGTGCAGTGCACATGCCCTTTTTAGTCTTGGATAGAAAATGCCCTTCCAAAACGATCAAAAGTGCCCCCGCGACGCGACACAACCTCCGTCCAGTCCAGCCCTTCAGTAGGCGCACGACAACACCTCTACTGAGTATGCGCGCTCAACCCCCCCTCGGCGCTTTACAATACGCGCGCCACAACACAGCTGATCAGAACGCGCGCGACAGCACCGCTATTCAGCACGCGCGCGGCGACAACACCCGCTTTAGGTTCGATCATTTCCATCTTTTTTTCATCTCCGCTACTAGCAGCACACTCCATTTCCGCATTACTGGATCTGTAGCGACAACAGACCGCAAAGGATTATGGCCACGCCGGGGCTGATGGGAAATGAAGTTTCAGCTACCTCCCGTTCGCTTCATTCGCCTGAGCAAATTTTCTCAGAAGACCTATAGTTTTACCGAGTCATGCGACTTCGGTAATATCGAAAAAATTTAATATTGCGGTATGACGGTATTTACAATACCGTTACATCCCTAATATATATATATATATATATATATATGCTGTATTTACAGCATTATTTTTAATATTCGGTATGAAATCAAAACAACAAAAATGGCAACAAACTGTTTACACTGAACCACACAGTGACACAGCAGGGGCCTGTTTCAGTAAGGAGGTTCAAACAACTCGGAGTTTAAACTTGAACTTGAGTTGATTTACCGAGAGATTAAAAACTCTGAGTTTTCGGTTTCAGAATAGCTGATCTGAGTTGAGTCAATCAACTTTGAGTAGACCAACTCAGAGTTAAGCGCGCACACCGTGACTATAAAAAGGCATTATCAATGGAGCGCAGATATTACGAGGGACCATGGCAACATCTTAAAAAAAGAGATCAGCATTTCTTTCTCCGGCTGAATTTGATTTGCTAATGCAAAGTTATAGCAAATATGAGCGTATATATTTAAAAAGAAGCAGCCATCAGTGAAACAGAGACAGCGTGAGAAAACAGCTGCTCAAGTTAATGCATAATTTTTTATTTAAAGTATTTAAATATTTATATTTATAATAAAATAAGTAATATAATGTGTGACGTTTATAAAATGTTTCTAAACTTTTATACACGTTTATCAGTTTTAATAGATTTAACTGTGCACTTGTGTGTCTGCCTTTTTATTGATCAAGTGATAGAGGTTGATATAACATTTAGAAGGTAAGCAGTGCTAAAAATACTTTTTTAAAAATAAAAATCCCGTTAATCTAGTAACAGTACATGTCAAAGGTTAAGCTAATTATTTATGAAAAAAGGAAAAGCCATTCTCTTTCGCGACTTTGATCTTTGTGTGACAAAAATGTAGGCAATATCGGTTTCCATCAAAATATATTATATAGATTTGTGCAAAACTGGAATAATGCCTAGAAGATGTGAATAAAGCAGCGTTTTCATCCAACAAGTCAAAGAGAACAAAATCGTCACTTCCTGATTAACTTGCGCTAAATATCAACAGTAAAAACAAAATTTACTGTGGTAGAAAAAGCTGTGACAATTATTTTTTATTTAATAAATGTACTTGCGCCTCAGAAGACAATGCTGACACACAATGAACAGGTGGGGGAGTTTGAAGCCATTAGACGCGGTGATCTTGACACGCTCCAGACGCTCGGAGGTAATTACTAATATACACTAATACTGAAACAGTTAAGGCATTTTAGAATGACCAAAAAAACATTTAAGATGTCCTTTCCTCAGTCTGCTGGTTTGTCCATTCACACACATTTTCATCCTCATCTCTAACAAACCTTTTTTTAATGCACATACTGTAATTTGTTAAGTGTTTTCTTCATAGTTTATGCACATCTTTTCTTATCAAATAAAAGTTTAAAATACTCAGTTATGCACATGTTTTATTATACGTTTTTTTCAAAAGTTATGTGAATCACAACGTTTCCATCAATCGTTTTTATGCACATCTCCAAAATGAGCTCTAAAATAGGTGTGTGGAGACGTGAGGCTAAGGCGAGAAACACCGCTTCATCTTTAAAAAAGGGGAGGAGACCGACAGAAACTCAGAGTTTGGAGAATAAAACCTGCTCCTGACCAGGTTAGATTCACAGAGTAAGTTACCACGGTAACTGACTCTGAGTTAAAGTTACCTTTCTTTCAGAAACAGGCTTGACTTACCCTGCTTTGTCGAGTTTAACAAACCTGCCATTTTGAAACGGAAAACCCAGAGTTTCTCTCATTTCAGGGTTAAAATACTCTGAGTTTTCACTTGACCTCCTTTCTGAAACAGGCCCCAGGGGTCCGTTCTTCGTACCTTGCTTAAATGATCTAAGATGATTTGGCAGATCCTGGATCTTTTAATCTTGATATCTGATCTCTCGCTAATTTGGTTCTTCAAACAAGTTTGCGAATCAGATTAGAATGTCTGGATAAACTGATCTGAGATCGCTGCGTGTGTTGTGAAGGACAGATCTATCGATCCTCGAAATCATGATCAGCAATGCAACGATCGGCTGACGTCACAGCAGCGTAATGACATCATCTGATTAATATTCAATTATCCATGTGAGCAAAATTACATCAAATTAGCATTAAACGGCTTGTTAAATATGACACGCAATAACCTTCCACATTTGTTGTGCAGGCTTTACACTTTCATGTGTCAAGAGTATTCATCATGTATTTCAGTGCAAATCAGTGTATTTAGTACTACATTTAGAGAAGATTTTCTTTATCGTAGTAGCCGTTTTTTAATCGGTGTAAAGAATAACTGGTTGTTTACAAAAGCATTTTCATATTGGTAGGCGTCTGCAACTTTTATGAAGCATCAATCACTGACATATTAACTATCAAAACATGTTAATGATTGCATAAACGTATTATTGCTTTTAAAAAAAGTCACATATTGTGCATTTCTATTATACACAATTTGTACTAAAGCGATCTAAAAAGTTCATTTCAATAAGTTTTCTCTTTGCACCACCAGGTGACAGTCTTTGTACTTTCATTTCAAGGGTGCAGATTGCATACGCTTTATTAATATGTATAACTTTATTTATTTTATGACTATAATTTTATATATATATAGGTAAAAAATATGTACCATTTTCCCAAGTGTATATAACTTTTACTGTAAGAAAATATCAGAATTCGGAACATACTTTCTGTATTATCTTTGCTTGAACTAAGCCGATCTAATCCTGTTTATATGAATTGAACCTGCTCCCGATCAGGTTTGACCTAGCAGAACTGTTGCTATGACAACAACTCTCAGATCAGCTTTGAAGAACGAAACGATCCTGGATCATGTCAAATCGTCAACATCCAAATCCAGCTAATTGAGTAATCCTCATACGAAGAACGGACCCCTGGTCTCAGTGTAAACAGCTCACACCAAACCAAAGTCAGAATTCTGCTCAAAAAGTGTGTTTTATACAGTTTTAAACTCAAGTAAAGGTAAACTCAGAGCTGCAGTAGCTACTTTAAGCTAATTCTGATAACATCTGAACTCTAAACATAAAAGTCAACATAATGTATTTCATCAATAAAATAAATAAATAAATAAATCAAAACAACGACTGCAAACTGTTTACGCTGAATTATTCAATAATGCAACAAGTCTCAAACCACATTCATATCTTAACATTACACTGTTTTACGCTAAATTTACTTGAAACTTAAGTGTAAACAGCTCACATTAAACCAAAGCCTGAATACTGCTCAAACCCTGTGTTTTATACAGAATTAAACTCAAGCAAAGGTAAACTCAGAGCTGCAGCAGCTACTTTACACACCTAGACTCTAAATGTAAACATAAAGGTCAACACATTGTACTTTATCATTAAAACAACAATAAATCAAAACCAAAACAACAGCAATGTCAGCAAACTGTTCACACTGAACCACAAAATAACACAACAGGTCTCAAACCGCATTCATAACTCAACATTACACTGTTTCACACTGAATTTACATGTAACTTCAATATAAACAGCTCACATCAAACCAAAGTCAGAATACTGCTCAAAAAGTGTGTTTTATACAGTATTATACTAAAATAAAGCTAAAGTCAGAGCTGCAGTAGCTGTCATGTGTTTACCTTCTTGACGCCTTTATAAATGTAAAAGTAAAGCTCTCGGCCCACATTGAAACAGATTCTCTCGCCGTTCCCGGACTGGTCGTTTACGTTCACAAACGACACTTTAACCGGGTTTGAGCCCTGCGAGTTGAAAGGCACCCGGTTCGGACGGCTATATTCGGAGTTCGGCAGGAGTTTATAAACGCCCTCGCGGGTGCTGAATTGAGTTTTAATCTCGTTCGCCTCCTTCCCTCCTCCCTCCGCCGCCATCTTGGATATTAGTATTCATTCCGCTGCTGGGTGCACGAGCATGCGCGCGCGCCTCCTCCTCAGCGCGCGCTCACGCAGGTACGTCGAGAACACGTTATATTCTCATTTACACATTAGAAATATATGACGACATTTGAATACTTCACCCGCCACAAAATAATAATAATACCAATATTAACAACAACAATAATAAAATAAAGGTCATCGCGACTTTCTTTTATTTCCGATTTCTGGCTTTAAATCACACAATTGCGACTTTATTTCAAGATTTCTGGCTTTAAATCACACAATTGCGACTTTATTTCAAGATTTCTGGCTTTAAATCACACAATTGCGACTTTATTTCTCAGATTTCTGGCTTTAAATCACACAATTGCGACTTTATTTCAAGATTTCTGGCTTTAAATCACACAATTGCGACTTTATTTCAAGATTTCTGGCTTTAAATCACACAATTGCGACTTTACTTCAAGATTTCTGGCTTTAAATCACACAATTGCGACTTTATTTCTCAGATTTCTGGCTTTAAATCACACAATTGCGACTGTATTTCAAGATTTCTGGCTTTAAATCTCACAATTGCGACTTTATTTCTCAGATTTCTGGCTTTAAATCACACAATTGCGACTTTATTTCAAGATTTCTGGCTTTAAATCTCACAATTGCGACTTTATTTCAAGATTTCTGGCTTTAAATCACACAATTGCGACTTTATTTCAAGATTTCTGGCTTTAAATCTCACAATTGCGACTTTATTTCAAGATTTCTGGCTTTAAATCACACAATTGCGACTTTATTTCTCAGATTTTTGGCTTTAAATCACACAATTGCGACTTTATTTCTGATTTTTGGCTTTAAATCTCACAATTGCGACTTTATTTCAAGATTTCTGGCTTTAAATCACACAATTGCGACTTTATTTCTCAGATTTCTGGCTTTAAATCACACAATTGCGACTTTATTTCTCAGATTTTTGGCTTTATATCACACAATTGTGACTTTATTTCAAGACTTCTGGCTTTATATTAGAATTGCGACTCTTTATATAATTGTGATTTTGTTGTTAGTGCATGCTCTTCTCATAAACATCAGCGTGTTTATCTCTGTACAACATGAAGCAAATGTAGGAAAAATAAGGCCAGAAATACACGGGTCTCCATCTGTCCTCCCTTAGACATCTTGCATGTAACACATCATTTACTGCTCTTATCTATCATTGTGTAGTTCTGCATCACTTTATTACTAACTGACAAGTTAACTGGTTTCAGGATCCTGAACAACTGTTTAACACACGCATTTATTTTAATCTGGCTAGTTAACATGTTGGTATACTATAAAATGGAATTAACACACATTAACAGCAGTAACCATTTACTCCACTTTTATTGGTTTGATGTGAAAAACAGAGAGAAGACTCAGGTGAAGTTACAGTCACACTAACACGGTACACGCCGTTTAGCACACAGATAGCCCATTCGGGTCGAACAGCCCTGATTGTTCCAGCAACGGTCCGCTGTAGAGTAGAAGAAATCATGTTTAGATCAGTGGTGATCACGCTGTCATGTACACACTTATAAACACCAACTTTAATCCTTTGACAAAGAGGCGTTTAAATGTTCCTGTATGAGTTTCTGCCACCAAGAGGAGCACAAACCACTCACATGTCCAGTTGATCTCCAAGCAGTGTTCAGACCCGCTACTAGGCTCTCCTGAGCACCAGTTGGTGTAACCATACACAGATCCATCAGACCACAACCACTGTCCATCCTGAGTGGAGGAAATCAGATTAATGAGCAGACGGTTAACAGAACAGCATGTGAAGAGCATTAAATGGAGGATCTGGACATACAAACTAGTCTGAGACCTACTTGTTCACCATCATGGCCACCAATCCAGCAGCGTGTGGAGCCCGGCACCAGACTCAGCAGAAAGTCATTCTCCACTTGATCATGCACAGAAGCCAGATTCCCTCCAAGACTCTGACAGTTTCTCTGAAGGACACATTTTTATTGTAAATGCTCAATCCAGAGTTTAGACGTTTCACTCAGATCATAAGTCACTTACAACTGCAGAAACACATTACCTCTGCTGTGACCCAGTTCACAGACCTGGAGAAAAACCTGAAGCAGCGAGAGCCAGACCCGCTCCAGCCTCTTTCACAGCGAAGTCGCTCCTCTATACAGTACAGAAACACAAGATTACTCTGATATCCCCAGCACAGTTATTAACTTTACATGTTCAATAATATCTGTGTGTGATTATGGCTGATGAACACAATCTCTAAACACAAGAGAACAAGCTTTTAGAAGAGGAAAGAGGGCTGACTGGTTACCATCTGCACCCTCCATGGAGAACACGATAGAAAGCAGCAGAAGACTCCTCAGCAGGAACATCATGAACCTGAACATTAACAGAGGAGAGAAGATACTTAGGAAAATGCTCAGTATAAAGCTGCTCAGCAGCTCTTGGTGTGTAAAATCACCTTGGTCTGCAGATGATCACCTTCAGTGAAGCTTCAGATGAAGAGTGTGTGAAGATGCTGAATCAGCCCTGCTGTCAAATACACTCACTGATCAACTCATACAGGTGATACAGATTGAGCTGAAGATCAACACAGCTGAAGGAAATTACTGACAGCAACTGGAACACTGCACACGCTGCTGGATTGGTGGCCATGATGGTGAACAAGTAGACTAAGATCAATGCTGCGTCCCAGTCCACATATTATCCATCCCAGATAGTATTTGAAAATATGTCCCAAACCACAGTATGTTGAAAAGAGTATGCCAGAGGTTCCCGGATGGTTTGCTGTTTCTGGTGAAAAATGTAAGTGTAGAAGCGTCCATAATCTAACCGCTGATATTCACCACAATACATTGCGCATTGGACATGAATTCAATTGCAACTACAAATGCGTGTGAGAAGTGTAAATAAACTACAAACAAGATGAACGCGTGAGACCAACCGTCAAGTGGAGAGGCTTCGGTAAAGATGTTTGAATGATGGTTAGTCAATATCTAGCCCCCTGGAAAATACTAAGAAAATCAAATATTGATTCAATATATGATTAAAAAAACTCAACTATTTAGTCTCCACTACACTTCCTAATCTGGAATTGCCTCTCTGAATATCACACTAACTGTACAAAAAAAAAAAAATACTAATACTACTAATACTTCCCTTCTTAGACTTTACAGACCTGAAACTTGCTTATAGCACTTATTCATTGTTGCTCTTGGTTGTGTAAATTGCTTCCTTGTCCTCATTTGTAAGTCGCTTTGGATAAAAGCGTCTGCTAAATGACTAAATGTAAATGTAAATGTAAATATGTACATCAGGGGCCTGTTCTTCTTAGCTCGCTTAAATGATCTAAGATTATTTGGCAGATCCTGGATCTTTTAATCCTGATATCTGATTTCTCACTAATTTGGTTCTTCAAACAAGTTCGCGAATCAGATTAAAATGTCTGGATAAACTGATCTGAGATCATCGCTGCTTGTGTTGTGAAGGACAGATCTATTGATCCTCGAAATCATGATCAGCAATGCAGTGATTGGCTGACGGCACAGCAGCGTAATGACATCATCTGATTAATATTCAATTATCCATGTGAGCAAAATTACATCAAATTAGCAGTAAACAGTTTGTTAAATATGACACGCAATAACTTTACATCTTGTTGTGGTCTGGGGTCTGTTCTTCGTACGTGGATTACTCAGTTAGCTGGATTTGGATATTGACGATTTGACATGATCCAGGATCGTTTCGTTCTTCAAAGCTGATCCGAGAGTTGTTGTCATAGCAACAGTTCTGCTTGCTCAAACCTGATCAGGAGAGGGTTTAATTCATATAAACAGGATTAGATCGGCTCAGTTCAAGCAAAGAAAATAGATAAAGTATTAATCGAATTCTGATATTTTCTTACAGTAGTAGTTATATACACTTGGGAAAATAGTACATATTTTTAACTATATATATATATATATATATATATATATATATATATATATATATATATATATATATATATATATATATATATATATAAAGTTATAGTTATTAATAAAATAAATAAAGTTATATAAATTTATAAAACGTATGCAATCTGCACCCTCGAAATGAAAGTACAAAGACTGCCACCTCGTGGTGCAAAGAGAAAACTTATTGATATGAACTTTTTAGATTGCTTTAGTACAATTTGTGTATGATAATAGAAATGCACAACATAAAAAAATAAATAATACATTAATGCAGTCGTAAACATGTTTTGACAGTTAATATGACGGTGATTTGATGCTTCACGAAAGTTGCAGACGCCTTTACCAATATCAAAATGCTTTTGTAAACATCCAGTTATTCTTTACACCGATTAAAAAACGGCTACTATAATAAAGAAAATCTTTTCTAAATGTGGAACTAAATACATTGATATGCACTGAAATACATGATGAATACTCTTGACAAATGAAAGTGTAAAGCCTGCACAACAAATGTGGAAAGTTATTGCATGTCATATTTATCAAACCATACTGCTAATTTGATGTAATTTTGCTCACATGGATAATTGAATATTAATCAGATGTCATTACGCTGCTGTGCCGTCAGCCAATCGTTGCATTGCTGATCATGATTTCGAGGATCGATAGATCTGTCCTTCACAACACACACAGCGATCTCAGTTCAGTTTATCCAGACATTCTAATCTGATTCACGAACTTGTTTGAAGAACCAAATTAGCGAGAGATCAGTTATCAAGATTAAAAGATCCAGGATCTGCCAAATAATCTTAGATCATTTAAGTGAGGTACGAAGAACGGACCCCTGCATGCTTGGCTCTTTCATGTGTCAAGAGCAATTTGTTTAGTTTTACAGTTGGAGCGGATTTTCCTTATTATAGTAGCCATAGTAGTATTATTGTAGCCATTTTTTCAATCGGTGTAAAGAATAACTGGATGTTTACAAAAGCATTTTGATATTGGTAAAGGCGTCTGCAACTTTTGTAAGGCATCAAATCACCGTCATATTAACTGTCAAAGCATGTTTATCACTGCATATATCTATTATTGCTTTTTAAAGTCACATATTCTGCATTTCTATTATACACAATTTGTACTAAAGCGATCTAAAAAGTTCATATCAATAAGTTTTCTCTTTGCACCACCAGGTGACAGTCTTTGTACTTTTATTTCGGGGGTGCAGATTGCATACATTTTATTAATTTATATATATATATATAAATATATATATATATATATATATATATATATATATATATATATATAGTTAAAAAATATTTACTATTTTCCCGAGTGTATATAACTAATGTAAGAAAATATCAGCATTCGGTACATACTTTCAGTATTATCTTTGCCAGAACTGAGCCGATCTAATCCTGTTTATATGAATTGAGCCTGCTTCCGACCAGGTTTGAGTTACCAGAACTGTTGCTATGACAACAACTCTCGGATCAGCTTTGAAGAACGAAACAATCCTGGATCATGTCAAATCATCAATAACCAAATCCAGCTAACTGAGTAATCAACGCTCGAAGAACAGACCCCAGCTCTCAGAACTACACGGAGTAAACCAAAAGGCTGTGTATTTCTGCACCGGCTGCCTTTTGATGGTCATGAGATATAAGTGTGTGTTCCAGCGTGCAGACTGGACGCCTGTGCCAGAGTGAGTCTTATTACGTCTTACAGTGTGATGCATTAATGCATGAGTAAAGCTTGGTTCAAACCAATCAGCGCGCTCTATTGTGCACCTTCATTAATATTCATTACTGTCACAGTGTTTAGACGACAGAGACGCCACGTTGTGTTGGCAAAACAAGCGTGAAGTGTTGCTTTTATAGTTTGCTGCAGTGAAGTTTTGTTTTCATTTTCTCTCTGTGAGAGCGCAGCTGGAGTCATGTGTGGATTAACAGTGTACGCGACGCTCGACAACAATAACTTACGTGTCTAAGGAGGAACATTGTTTACCTGAGAGCTGGGGTCCGTTCTTCGTACCTCACTTAAATGATCTAAGATGATTTAGCAGATCCCGGATCTTTTAATCTTGATAACTGACCTCTCTCTAATTTGGTTCTTCAAACAAGTTTGCGAATCAGATTAAAATTTCTGGATGAACTGATCTGAGATCGCTGCGTGTGTTGTGAAGGACAGATCTATCGATCCTCGAAATCATGATCAGCAATGCAGCGATTGGCTGACGGCACAGCAGCGTAATGACATCATCTGATTAATATTCAATTATCCATGTGAGCAAAATTACATCAAACTAGCAGTAAACGGTTTGTTAAATATGACACGCAATTATATATTGTATTCATCATGTATTTCAATGCATATCAGTGTATTTAGTACTACATTTAGAAAAGATTTTCTTTGTTATAGTAGCCGTTGTTTAATCGGTGTAAAGAATAACTGGATGTTTACAAAAGCATTTTCATATTGGTAAAGGCTTCTGCAACTTTTGTAAAGCATCAAAACACTGGCATATTAATTATCAAAACATGTTTATGACTGCATAAATGAGTTATTGCTTTAAAAAAAAAGTCACATATTGTGCATTTCTATTATACACAATTTGTACTAAAGCGATCTAAAAAGTTTCTTTGTACTTTCATTTCGAGGGTGCAGATTGCATAAGTTTTATTAATATGTATAACTTTATTTATTTTATTAATGACTATAATTTTATATATATCGTTAAAAATATGTACTGTTTTCCCAAGTGTTATAACTACTACTGTAAGAAAAAATCAGAATTCGCTACATACTTTCTGTATTATCTTTGCTTGAACTGAGTCGATCCAATCCTGTTTATATGAATTGAACCTGCTCCCGACCAGGTTTGACCTAGCAGAACTGTTGCTATGACAACAACTCTCGGATCAGCTTTGAAGAACGAAACGATCCTGGGGTCCGTTCTTCGTACGTGGATTACTCAGTTAGCTGGATTTGGATATTGACGATTTGACACGATCCAGGATCGTTCCTGAATGAAAGAGCAAAACTGCAGTTAAAGTCCACCAATTAATAATTAAGCAAATAATTCGACTACAGATGTCCATGTAAACACAGTCACTTTCTCCCGTGTGTGTGATTTGACTCTGAAACTAGCGTGTGCCCAAATAGACATTCCCACAACAAGCCTCTTTTCTTCCTCCAACACTCCCCCTAAACAAAGCTGGACACGCCCACTTTTCTGACTTTTTCCAAAGTGGAGGTGTGAAAACACCCTGCTGAAACGAGGGGGTTTCATGGCCCTTCAAAATCCTTCAGTGACACACTTTTTCCAATATTACTGTAAAAATAAACTTTGCATTAGATTTCCTTTGTGCACTTACATTGATGCCTCTAAAGGGCATCACACACTGCATACATCGTAACATGGACCACACATGACAGTTTAATGTATCATCCCGTTGAAGCATCTGCTTTTTCCCTTTTTAAATAGCCGCATGATTCATGGCATTTATGATAGCTGTGCATCAGATTAGGACTGAACACATTCTAACATGTTATTCACAGTCAGAGATTAAGCCAGAATACAGGAGTTAAAGCTAGTTCAGTTAACTAATTAAAAAAAAAAAAAAAAAAAAAAAATTATATGCATGACAGGTCTCCATCATAATCCTTTAGCCCATGTTTATCCACAGCAACTTTTTCATAAGAAGTCAGATTTATCTGGAG